ACCTCATGTCAATAGCCTTGAAATTACTTAGATTAACTCAAATGAGCCACATACAACCCAATAGGCTAATTATAACACAATAACAATATCTCAATCACAAAATGATCATCAAACCCCCATTTCACAATAATATGAAGGGATGGGTAACATTCACCATAGATGGTATTTTAACCATTCCATCACATAATTAACATAAGTGTATCACTTGCACTAATATCTTAGTCGTTCACAGTCACTTAACCACATGTACATAAATGTTAGGTGAAGAAACGCTCATATTTCACAAATTCTTAGTTAGTTACCCTTGTGAGCTGTACATTCATACTTATTGGTTAGGTACGTTTGTTAATTGTTCCTATTCCAATTAAGTCCCGTAAATAAATAAATATATATATATATATATATTTAAATGAGTTTTAAAAACTACCATTTATTCAATATAATATTCATTGAATGAATTGCATTTTTTTTTACTTTTAGAATTTGAAAAGAGTTTTATATTTATTAATTATTTATAAACATATATTGTAGTATGAAAGTGAAATTCTAATGCTATGTTATCATTAGTTGGATTTCATACATATATGATTTATATATTTACATAGAATCATGTGGCTTATGAGACTTGAGATCTCATTGATTTTCTTAATTTAATATTTTTAATTATTATTGTTAATTATATTTGCCTTTAAATTTCAATTAGGAAGCTACTCATTGAAAACTTTCTTTAATTTTAGATATTGTAGCTGACCCTACGCCTCCTACTGATTATTGAGGGGCAGTATTGCTTTTTTGGATAGCATGAACACTCTTTGACTATTCATTTTAATGAAATTATGTATTATATTAAAATTATAAATTTAGCACTTCATGTATACCATAGTTAGATCCTAACTTTATTTGAGTGATATGTAATCTATTGGTGTGGAACTAATCTCTTTTGTTGGATTGCCTGATAGGTTTTACTATTGTAAAAATTTTAAGAGATCTAAAATAACATGGGAGACTTTTTCAAATTTTTATAAAATATTTAAGACTTTACAAACTTTGTAATTATATATAAAGTAATTGTCAATATTTTAATTTAAGTTTTGGTTAATCAAGGCTTATGATATATAAATTTATCTCATAATCAAATATTCATGTTTGAATCCCAGTTGATCCACCCATCACAAATATATTTTCCTAATTAATTTTCGTCCTAAAATGTGGGTCATAAAAAACTAACAATTTTCTGATTTTTATAAAATATTTTTTTAAAGTTTTACAGACAATTGTTTTGTTGTCTCTAAAAAATTCTTGATGGTCTTTTTAGAAGTGAATTTAGAGATAAATATAGAAAAAACAACTTAAATAATTAGAAATGAATTCAAGTTATCTCAAAAATTATCTCTTTTAGTATTTAGCTATGACGTTAGAGACGACACTTTTAGATACCGCTATATTTGTCTCTAAATTTATTTCTATAATTTTTAAATTATTTTCACTAAAACAAGTTATAGAAATGGTTAAAATATCCGTATTTAATTTCATTTTTTATTAGAGACGCATTGTAATTTGTCTCTAGAATTTATCTCTAAATCGAGGTTTTGTTTTTTTGGTAGTATGTTCCCTTGATTAACATTGATTTGACATTAAAAATGTATCCTGGGTCTAATGGGAAAAAAGCTAATCATATCATGATTCATGACACAACAATAAAATAAAGTAAGACCCTCATTAATCATTACATCACTTTTATTTTTTCATTAAATTATTTTTAAAAATATATCTTAAATGTTTCTTTAATAATCTTTCACACTCCTTCAAATTTTTTTTATAAAATTATCAAATTGATGTTGGACAAAAAATTATCAAATTAGTATTTATTCATGATTTAACTTCTATTAATTTCTATGATTTGTTTGGATCAAAGAAAATGATTGGGAGGTGAGATTTTAAATTTTAATGACTTGAATTTTAGAAAAATGGAGAATGGTGGTTAGAAAGTTTTTAATTGATTTTTTTATTTTTTCTCTTACATCTCTCAAATAAAATTTTATAATATATTTGTCTATTTTGTAAAAAAATTGTACTTGTTAAAATTTTCTCTTCTCTTTTTTGTTCTCTTCAAACAAAATGACTGTTAATATTCCCGTGCGATGGTATAAAATCAAGTTGAATTCTAAAATTAACTTTGAAATTTTTTGGATTGTTTATTGAATTCAAAAAATAAAAATAAAAACCTTGCTTTACTCTTATCTATTGTGTCAAGACTCTTCTAAAGTCAGTCCACCCGGGTCCACCAGCCACTACTCATCCCCGCAAATGTCATATCTACCCACCCAATTTATTGACGATCGTCCGTTAATGTTTTAAAAGCGAAAGTATATATTAAAATGAAAAGATTGAACAAAAATTAAAATTAATACACATAATATATATATATATATAAGAAATAAATCAACATATATATATATATATATATATTTCATTATTAATAAAATAATATAACATGATGATAAATCAATAATTACATTATCTCTCATGAATCATTTCACCCTTATGTCTAATTGTTTAATGTTTACTATTTTTTTAAGTTTTTTCCTTTTTTATATTATGCTTAAACTCATCCATTTTTTTTAAAAAAAAATCATTCCGGTTTATCAATCAATAGCTGCCCCACGACTGCCGTTGGTATGACTGTTCATTTTGGTTCTTAAAATGATTTATTGTCAATACATTCATATTTTATTAAAATTCTAGAAAAGGAGGAGGAGATATTCACGATAAACATAATGTTCATGATTGGGCCTTGCTTGATAACTTTAAAATAACTATATTAAAATTATCAAAGTTGAAGTCAAAGTAACTTTAAAGTAAAATGCTTTCCCCTGATTCACGCGAGCTTGAATTTCTTTCAAAAGTGCCATAATGGTTACAGTCTTCTTATACATTAGGAGTTAGGACAATACAATATTCCATCTATTTATAAATATAATAAAAAATAATTAATTTATACAGTTTATAAAATTGATTAAATAAAATAGTTATATTTAAAAGTAAAAAATTTGAGCTAAATTATCCCTATAGTTAATTAAATAAATTTATTTAGTGAAAATAAATGTTAACTTTATGAGAGATAATTTAAAAAAGTGTGATAAATACTTCTTAAAATTTATAGCTTTATTTATAAATAAAAATAAAGACACATGACAATTTAGAAAACTTACGTGTAGCCCAACCAGTAGAAATTAAAGTCGAACCTACAAGGCTAAAACCTCTTTTTTTTTTTTTAATAATAAGAATAATAAAGGAGATGCTCACGAGTGCCACAGAGTATCTGGCAACACTGCCTGACTTTTATATTAACTTAATATTAATAGCAAGCACTATAAAATTTACATGTTTTCTCTGACATACATACACCCTCGGACGGAGAATTAGATTCAGGAATTAATAACCAAAGGAGTAATAAGTGAAGAAAAGGTTCGGAATTTCCTCTTGGGAGCAGGTTTGGTTCTTCTTCTTGTTCTTGCAGCTGTCGTCTGTGTGTATGGATTTGTTTGGTTTTGCTTCATCATGATTCTGAACGCAATTTATCAGACGGTCCTTTTCATTTTAAAATGTTATTGGGTTTCTCTGAAGCCAGTTCGTTGGGCAATTGTATACATATTAAAATGTTTTGGCGTCAGTTTTATGAAAGCACCTGGTCTGGCGCTCCACATCCCAAGAGCCATCTTTGAACTTAGCCCTAAAATCTTCTTTAGTCTTCTGCGCTGCCTGTGTCGATGAAAGAAGGAGAACCATCCAGATCTACATCACGAATTAATGCCCTTCAACGTTCAACCTTAAATATGTTTGTATGGCACTTTCTCTTGTTCTGGTCTCTCTTAGCTTTCCTCGATCGTGTGTTTTGAGGTTTCTTTAACAAGTATTTCTTGTTCATCTGTGTTGTGTGTTGGTTGGGAAATGAAATCATGTACTGGTTTAAATTTTTCTGTTCCATGCATCTATGTTTCGTGTTGTCTATGTTGCGACTCTCTCCGATTTTGTTTTGTTTCGATTGGAGACATGTGAGAAAACATTTCCAGATCTATGAATCAGTTATTAGCGAGAAGTGAGTTTTCGGGGGGTTTTTTTTTTTTTTTGGAAAATTTTTGTAAATGATTTTATTCAGCTGCTTTTATTTTTGTCAGTCTGCATTGTAGAAAGCTATTTCCACTTATCCAGTATTGGGGGTTTCATAGAGTTGCTTCTTTGGTGTGTTGCTTCAGATTAATAATTTGATGGGGGTGAGTTGGTTTATTGATTTTAATAATTTTAGTGACAAGGAAAATTTGTATATTTGATGGGAGTGATGAGTTAAAGGGATTTTACTTTTGATAATTTTGCAGCAAGGCAAACATGATAATTTTGCAGCAAGGCAAACATGCATTTTTGGTTCTATAATTTTAAAATTGGCTTCTATTCAACGCATCATTGAAGAGAGAACAAGAGACTGGCTAGCGGGCAAGCTAATTTTAATTAGTATAACGTAATTAAAAAAATATAACTTTTGGTCATTAAATATATTATCCTAAAGATCATTAAAGGGGTTTTGGCTTTTTTTCTTTTTTAATCTTTTAGAATGTAACGAGAAAAAGGGGTTTGAGCTGAGTTCGGTTTCAGTGCGTGCTCATCACTTGATGAGCATTTGGATCGTCCAAATTTTTAATTTGGATGATTCAGATTTTATAAAATTTATTTTTTAATTTTATTTTATATTTATCATAAAAAATTATGAAATTTTAATATTTTATCATTAATCTAGACAGTATATATTTAATCTGAATGGTTCAATTTAATATTATTTTTAAAAATTTTATAAATTAATTATTCAGATGTACTTTAGATAAACTGGATGTAAAGTACAAGATAGTCAATTTATAAATTTTTTTATAAAAATAATATTAAATTAAATTATTTAAATTAAATCTGTACTGTCTGAATTGATAAATCATATACAAATTAAATCTGTATTGTTGATTGATAATAAAATAGATTTATTAAAATTTTATATTTTATAATTTAATAAATATATATTAAAAATAATAAATAAAAATAATAAATTTGAACCGTTTAGATTTTTACTCATGGAGTGATGGTGCTCATCAGGTGAAGAGCACCAAACCGAACGCGTTTGAGCTTTGAACCTTCCTTTGTCGCCAAGTAGTAAAGTTAGGCCAAGGGAAATGATGGCTTTCATTGCTGCATTTTCTTTTTATACTTTTAATTTGAAAAATAAAAGGAAAAAAAATAAAGGAGAAAGAGAGAGTGAGTATGTCACGACAGAAGATGAACACGTCATGCAAAAAGACAACCTGTATCCCCAATCAGGTTTCGGTTACGGAATGGGAACAAACCCCATTTTCTATTCTTTTTTTTTTTTTTTTTTTTCCTTTATGGGTTAAACGACTGAGCACTGGTTTCTATAAATATGTCTGTACATGTCTTTGCAAATGCTCTCCTCGTTTCAATTTATAAAATAATACTTTCTCTGTTTTAAATCATAACAAATTTTAAATAAAAATTCAATATCAATAAAATTAAATATATTTTATAAATTTATTTTTAAAAAATAAAATATAAATTTTTAAAAATATCATTAATTTAATAATTTATTTATAAATATTATAAAATAATATTAAAGAGATAGAATATGATAGGAAGGGTAAAATTAAAAAGTATCATTAATTAAATTTTATTTTTATCAAAATATTTTATATTTTAGAATATCAAATCTCTTTCAAAAGTATTTTATAATTTAAAACAGAGAAATTATATTTTTTCACAAAAATTAGACATATAATAAAATTTGTTAAATATAATTTAAAATTTATTTTTTTATAAGCTTTGTGAAAAGACATTCATTAATAATAGAGAGGGGAAGAAATTTATTTAAGAAGTAAAATTTATTATTAATAAAATTTTATTTTTTTCATAATGTTTTAGAGAAAATATCAATCAAGGAACACTCGAGAAAATTTATATCAATCAATAATTATTTGTTGTCAAAACTCAAATGGATACTTGTCGATTTAAATTTGTCTTTTATTAACAAATATTCATTCAAGTTTTAACAATAATTTATTTTAAATTAATAATAATTTATTTAATTTTTTTCAATTTAAATTTTGATAACAATTAATATTTGATTGATATAAATGTTTTCTAGCGATCGTTCATCGCTATTTTCCCAATGTTTTATGTTGTGAATTAAATATCAAATCCACCCGAAATGTTTTCCTGACGTATTTGAAAGTGGTACAATGTTGTTCTTCATTAGCAGATCCAAATGTGTTAGATGGGCCCCATACAACAATGCCACGTAAGCCTGAGAATTTTTGTCATTGCCACGTTCTTCCCCATGGTGCTGCTTCATTCTTTGATCTTCAGGACCACCGAAACCCATCCCTTTGAAAATTTGATGAAATGGCAAAGGGGCCACAAGAGGCCTAAATTGAATATGCTCCATCTTCCTTTCATCAATTGATGCAACATTCTTCTCCAGTACTCTTGCTGGTGAATGGGATTTAAATTGAAGTATGAAATCGTTGTTTGGAATCACATGTCTGGGATGCAATTTAATACATTTGTTCGAATTAATCCCTTTTTAATTTATAAGATTATATTTAATTTGACTTCTACTTTCCCTCTGTTTGAAGCATTTAGATAATCAAGGATAAGATGCATCGAATCTTCAATAACTTCACAACCAAAAGGACAGTTCCCCTCAGATACAAGACTTGTATTCGGCCTCAGTTCACAAGTACACGTCCTCCCATGAGTTCAAATATATTTGTTGTGATGGGGGGAATTTATTTTTGTTAAAACAGAAATCAGACTTTTTCTTTTTTGAATTAAAACTTGTTCACCATATTACAATATTTTCTCTCTACCACTAAGTTAATATTTTGAAGTTATTAATAAAGAAATTTATAGTGAGATTTATTGTTTTTTGAATGGGGACTTATTCATTAAATTACAATACTTATTCTTTTACACTACCAAATTAATTTTTAAGAATTGTTAATGAGAGAATTGATTATTATTAAAATGAAAATGAGGCTTGTTTTTTTTTTTTTGTTTTGGCTGGACTTGTTAAAAGAATATATGTACATGAGGGGTAGGTTTGTCTTTTATGAAATTTTAATTAAATTTAGGTTTCTTGATACTACAGAATAATATTATAATTATTTGATCCTGCACAGTAATAAATGTTGTTCAATGATTCCTGGTTGTGATTTTCCCTTCTTTCATTGTCGAATTTCCAAGCACGTTCTCTGAAGAGTTTTTATCCTTGAGATTGTTCAAGTCATTTTTATCATAAAAAGGTTTTTTTTTATGTCATATTATAAATACAGCAAACAAATCATTTTATGGTCTTTAGAATAATTTAACAATAATTTAAAGTAAGTTTCTACTAAAGTTTTTAACTTTAATTTTTTCCTTCCCAGCAAATAATTGTTTTTCCAAAACATTAAATCGTAGACAATGAAATAGAAATAAGTAAAGCATCGACCTTTAATCACTAGAATTTGAACTTCTTTTTAAAGTGTCCATAAAGATTATTCATTGACGTGATGACATCCATGATAATGATAATTAAATTATTTATGTAAAAAAAATTAATAGAAAAAACTTATATAATTAACCTTATATATTTAAGGTACTTGTTTTCATTTAAATCAAAACAAGTGTATTTTTTATAGACTATTTAATTTATAATAAATTCTTGTTATTAGTATTATTAACATATTAAAATTCACATTCTTGATTTGATTGAATAAAAGTATGTTAAGTATATAATACTAAGTATATAAGTCTTTTTTTAATTTATCTTTATTAAATTTAAAAATATTTTCTCTCTAATTTGTAATCTATTATTCTATTCATAAAAAATTGTAAAAGAGTAAAATTGAAAGAATGTAATTAATTGATCACCATCTTTTTAAATCTTTAATTCCTTCTAAAAGGTAATAATTTATAGATGGAGAAAATACTCAGCGCCACTCCTTAACTTCTAGTCGTTACGGTCTTAATGATCGAGAAAAGTTTTCAAGACCTATTAGGTCTTCTTTTTTATTGCTCATATATATATATATATATATATATTTCATTTGAAGGCAATTCTATTGAGATATATTAAATGTGAGTACCGTTTTTAATGATAATTGGAACATTAGTTCACTTTATTGTGAGGGGCCAGCTCCTTCTACCAAACTGAACCTTATTGATTAGCTTTTTCTTTTAATGTTGTCTTCCTTGATTGTACTAAGTTGTAATTTTTAAATATATTTTATTATGATAATTAATTTTAGTCAAATAAGAAATGAAAAAGTCAAACATTTATTCCTTGTCCTTTATTTCTTTCTTTCCAATTGTTTGTGTCTTAATGGAAAACCATCAATAGCGCCATGGGCCATGGCTTCAATTCCTGAGATTTGATTTTCTTCAATTTCCTTCTAAAAAGGCCCATCCCAAGTATGAAAGAGCATTTAAGTTTTTTGATTTAAATTGATTGATGAAGGAAAAAATTTATAAAATAAAACCAAATGCTTTTATAATAAATAAAGAGACAAAGAAAAAAGTATATGAAGAGGAATCTATTTTAAATTTTTTCTTAACAAAGAATGATATTGTTTTTTTCACCAATATTATTATGAGATTCCATTACGTTAAAGAACAAATAGAAAAAAAATATAAAAGTGCGCTAATAGAGAAAGATTATGTTACACTCCTATTATTGCAATTAATAACATATCAAAACTCCACTTAGTAAGAATGAAAATAGTCAACTTGATACCATCTCATTCATACCTACTATAATATATTTTTATCATCATCATCATCATTATCATTATTACTTTTTTTTATTCCTTCTTCTCATATCCTAGAAAATTTGTAATATTATCACAGGTTAATATGCAATTTAAACCTTAAACTATATGTCCAGAGGCAATTTAAACTTTAAACTTTTAAAAAGGCACATTCTGAATTCTAAACAATTAAAGTTGGGGCAATTTTACCCCTACCGTTAACTTTCAACAAACATCCATCAAATTTGGGTTGACGTTTGTTGAAAGTTAATGGTAAAGGTGAAATTATCCTAACTTTAATTGTTTAGGTTCATAATGTACCTTTTTAAAATTTAGGATTCAAGTCATCCCTGGACCTATAGTTCAAAGTTTAAATTATATGTTAACCCTATTGTTAATTACACACACTATAAAATTTATAAGTTTTCTTGGGGTACATATACAAACGAAGAAGGCTTACCTCAAACTCAAGTAGTTTGGAAAATCACATTAAAGGATTATTAGAGCACACTAATCACCCAAAAACAAAAAGGATTGGGTTAAAGGAAAATAGAAAAGAGAGTGTTAAAAATAATAGAGAGAAGGAACAAAGTTAAAAGGTAATCTAGAGAATATATATATATATATATATATATCTTTGATTTCATAAGGGACACTAAATTATCCATATTAAAATGGGAAAATCACAACCAACGACCCCCAGAGAGATATTCAAATATAAGGACTAATAAATTTTGATTTAACATTGTAGTTCCTAAGGTTTTAATTGTAATTAATTGTGATTGTGAAAATATATAATTGCCCCTAACTATATTCTAGATAAATTATAAGGGAATTATCTCTTGCTAAAATATAATGGAGCCTTGTTATTTGGCGGATGGTGATTTGTTCACCAGATTTATATACTTAGTTTTGTTAATGGAAATGGCTTTATTCTAGACTTGTCACGATGAGAATCATTTCTTGTTAAAATAAAATGGAGTGTTGTTATTTTATAAATAATAACTTGTTTACCACATGAATACATTTGGTTCTATCAATGGAATGACTTTATTTTGGACTTGTCACCATGGAAATTATTTATTGTTAAAATAAAATGGAATGTTATTATTTTGTGAATGGTGATTTGTTTGCAACATGAATACACTTGGTTCTATTAATGTAAATGGCTTTATTTTGGATTTGTCACTATAAGAATTATTTCTTCTTAAAATGGGATGGAGTACTGTTATTTTGTGAATGGTAACACTTTTGCCACTTGAATGCACTTAGTCTTGTTAATGAAAATGGCTTTAAACACTAGGGGCAATTATGTATTTTCATAATCATAATTAATTACAGTTAGGACCCTAAATACTATTGTGTTAAATCAGAATTCATGAGTCTTCAATTGTGAATATGTTTCTCTAGGGAGTCCTTCGTTGTGATTTTCCCTATTAAAATTGAAAGGTTCATGTTTAATATAATTTTTTATCAAAAAAATTAATACAATTTGTCATATTCTTATTAAAGTATTATTTTAACATGTATAAAATTTAAATTAAAAATGATTTTATAATTTTCACTTTATCATAAACTAATTTTTATATAAAAATTACATATGAAAAATTTTAAATATAAATTGTTAAAATTAATTTTAAATTGATCAAATCTCATTAGAATTATTGTGAACTGCGATGGGGTCTCTTCATTTTTTCACCCTCCATCTCCCCAATCATCACTATTAATGGATTTTATAATTAAAAAAATTATTTAATAAAATAATATACCTGTGTCTATTAAATTATATATTTAATAAATTATTTAGTACACTTACGTACGGACTCTGACAAAAAACTCACGTATGCACAACCATGCCTATTAAGAAAGAAAACTTACGTGCGTCTCCACCCACTAATAAATTAGAAGTCATTGTTATAAAAAATACTCATATTTGACACTTATTTTTTATAATACTTGATAGTTTTTAATTATCAAATAAAGGTATGACATATATTAAAAAAATCTTACTTGACAATTAAAAACTGTCAAATATTAAGTTAATACTTGATGGTTATTTGAAAAAAAACTGTTAAGTATATGAACTAAATATGCACTTTCCTAAATAATTACTTGACGTTTGTTTTCAAACAAGTGTCAAGTATTTGTAAATACTTAACGGTTATAAGAAAACAAGCATCAAGTATTTATGACCAAAACAAGCATCAAGTATTTAGAAATACTTGAGACTTTTTTAAAAATAAGCGTTAAGTATATTGATATTTAACAATTATTTTGAAACAAGCGTCAAATATTTACGGCCAAAACAAGCATCAAGTATTTAAAAATACTTGACACTTTTTTGAAAACAAGCGTCAAGTATATTGATGTGTCAAGTATTTATGGCATAATTTTTTTCAATAGGGTGGCTGCTTTTAAAGCAACTCCCCTATATAAAGATATAGATACAAATAAAAAACAGCCAACCAGCAACAAAAATAATGCAATATAATGAATGTTTCTAATAGTATCTCTTATTTAATTAACATAAAAATTTCTATACATTTAACCTTAAAATCTAAAAAATCTATGCTCAACTTATTTGCACACTAATGTTCCAAAACTAAGTGGCCTATCCCATAAAAATTGGCCCCAACAATGTGTATATATATGTAACCAACTATTGTACCGGCCTAACTACTGTTGCTACCCACATATTGAAAACACATTGGGCCACCTCTTCAAGGACCTCTTCTACATGTGCAGCCGCATAACGAACACAATAGACGTCCTCGAAGTACTGTAAGCAAATAATCACAACAATTTTAAGTTAATACG